TTTTTCACACAGGCACCCCAAGATACAGGAAAGCACAAGCAATTTCCCTCTTTTTCAACTGAATTAATCCATGTTAACCCTAAATTACTTTTCCCGCTCGCCCCTGGCTTCACTGCGGGGTTGGGAGGGGGGAGGGAAACAGCGAGGGGCGAGCGGCTCTCCGCTCGCCCCTGGCTTCAGTACCGGGTGGGGGGGGGAAGAGGAGCTGGGGGGGAGATGGAGGGGGGTGGAGGACAGGGGGGAACCAGGCTGGGGGGTGCACTTCCCTCCTCCTGCTGCTTCCTCCTCTGCCTCCCCCCTCCCCGCGAGTATCGCGGGTCCCTCCTTGTAAAGACATATTTTCAGTGTAAATTTCATTCTATAAATTCATTTGATTTTTATCCTGATCTTCATCCAAGGATCTCAGGGGGCTATAAATCTCCTTTCTGTATTTTAACAACCCTATGAGATAGGTTAAACTGAGAGAGACACTGGTCCAAGGTCATGCAGTGAACTTCCTAGCTCAGTGGATATTTGAATCCAAATCTCATTGGTACTCTACTGGTCTGGTACTGGTCTCACTGGTACTGGTCTGATACTCTAACCACTCCACCACTCTGGGAAGTTTTGTGTATCCAGAGTGATTACTATCCCTTAAGTGCTGTTATCTACACACCAGGACAGACATGTGTAGATACCTGGAAGAACCAAACGTGGTCCTTATAGTGTTGTGTGCAAGGGAACGATGTTCCCAGCAGGCTCCTGTACTATGTACACATTACAAAATAAAATGCATGGCTGTTCTCACAGGTGATTAAGTATACAAAGCTTATATTCTCTATTCTATACGAAGTGTAATCTATGTAGAAAGAAGCCTTTGTGTACAGTGACACAGTGTGGTCAAAAAAGTTAATGCTTTTAGTGTTTCCTCCATAATGCATTTAAGATAAGCGTTCTTGCTAGCTACCTTTATTAAACTGAACTTTAAACTGTGAGAGCTCTGACAGAAACTGCTCTTTTTCAAGAACAGCTCTTATCAGAGCTACGGCTTGCCCAAGGTCATCCAGCCAGGTGCAAGTGGAGGAGTGGGGAATCAAACCCGGTTCTCCCAGATTAGAGTCCGCGCACTTAACCACTACACCAAACTGGCTACTGAAACCTTTTAGAAATGTGTTTTGACCAGGTATCTTCAAGATTGCAATTTATAAAGGAAAAAGGCTCTTGCTTTTTGAAATTGTAACACACATAATGATGGATATAAAAACTCCAGTCTTCTAATGGTGAAGCAGGCCTCTTCTATTAGAGGAAGGTTTACCGTTCACCAAACAGAATCTTTGGATACAACTCATGGTGCCCCAGCTTGGGGCTGTATAACTGAAGAAATGGCACAAAGATTTTCTGCAGAACATTCAAATCGGCAACAAAACAGGAATGTACATTTGTAAAAACATTCATGCCTTACCATTCGCTACATACGTAATCTTGCATAGAATGTTGTCTCTACTTATTTCTTTGTTCCCTTCAGGTGGGCTTACCAACGTCTGACAAATCATAGCAACATTTATTTTGGCACGAACACATCGATTGTTCAACTGTCAAAAATACACATTTTCACTGTTAGGTTACTGAAACTGATTAAGAAACTTATTGCAGCATGTACTGTCCCTCAAAGAACATTCTGCCATACAATTCTCCCTTTTATCCTGACTGTACTTTTAATAATCCCTTTCCCTGTTCTGAAACAGCAGATACAAAAAAGGTTATTTTTTTCTCTGGCAGGCTGGAGAGCTGTGGCTTCAGCAAAGATGTGAACACATCTAGAGAAGTGACAGATGGTACTTACAGGAGCGCTGTCATGATCCACAGAGAAGTTGCAGACAAGCCATGTTTCAGTGTCATTTTCATTGAAAGCTGGTATTTTTCTAATAGCAGACAAATATAATACATCACGTTGAGAAGCAGGCCATACTCTCTAAAAGAAAAGGGATTGTTATTGTTAGTATTCTTCAATAATCAGCATTTATATACCACTTTAATGTACTCTAAATGCTTTGCATATAATGCTCATTCAGGTGTCACATATAAAACCACACCAAAATGGCTTGTTTGCATTGCTGGCAAGCTGCCTCCTCCGCCCCAAGTGCTGACTGCAACTGAAAGCTTCCTGATTTGGGAATTCTAAGATTAAGCTCTCCAGTTCGCCATGATGTCTGAATACAGGCGCCTGGGAAAACTGGGGTTTGATTCTTCCTCACAAACTGGGATTCTCAGCCTTTCCACCTTGGAATCCTGTGGCAAAGGTACAAAGTCCAATTTATTCCAGATACTTACATGCAGCTGTCTTACCAAATGCAACTTTGGCTGAAGGCTTCCCAAACCTAGAAGCTTTCAGTCATGTGCCATGCAGAAGAGGAGGAAATGAGTGTGCAAACACAGCAAACAAGTCATTTTTGTTCTCATCATGAGCAAACAGAAATTTTCATAATCTTGTAAAACCAGTTCATATTATCTCTATATTGTACAGGAGGCACTGAGGTCAAGGGAAATCAGTTTTTCTAAGCTTGCCTGGTGAATTCACAACAGAGGTCAGTTTTGAACTGCAGGCTTCTAGATTCATCAAATGCATGAGCTCTCACCACAGAAGTGTAGCAACTGCTGGAGCAATGTTAAAATCAGATTGTGGCAATAGGCACCATTTTATAAAACAAACTTCCCTCCTCTCACACGTAAATGAATTCACAACATCTAAGATGGTGCCTTCTTCCATGTGTATAGTGTAAAACTGAATGGATATGGTTCTTCAGAACTACTGCTTTATTCATAAATGTGATTAATTGATTAAAATTTCATTAATTTGGCAACAGCCCTAGTAATCAAACAATAAAGATTTACTATTAAAAAAATAGGTCACATCATAGTGCTCTGCTCTCAGTGATACTTTCTTCTGCATTAACTCTAGAGATGGTTCCACAAACAAAATGGTAGAATACAAACTCACTAAGTATGGTAAACAAGATTTTAATGTGGACTGCACTGGTGTGTTATATTATCCTCTGGTGATTAGTAGGGAAGATTCCTCAGTTTAGTTCTATTCTTCTTCCATGGTTCATTTGAAACGGGTTTTACATCTGGCTGCCTTTGGGCAAGAAAGGAGGTGTGACGGACTGTACTTTTTAAAGGCTTAGAAGTGCTATATAAGCAGCTAAAGGACTGTGAAGGGTTAATTCTTCACAGAGCCAGAGAGCCTTGAGCTGTTTCAAGAGGTCTGATTGGTTAGCATCAGCTGAACAAAGAAAGAGTTCTGGATGCTGAGGAGAATTCAGTCTGATTTCAGCCCTGGCTGAAGAGAGTCAAGTATTGACAGTTTCGGATTTCAGCCTTAGCTGAGTGCAATTTAACACAGGCGAAGAACTGGGGGAAAGTTGGCAAGGAAGTTTGGGAAGTAGGCGAAGATTCCCATTCGGACCAATGAAAGGGGATATATTTTCTAGAGAAAAATTTCCCTACCCAGTCAAACAGAGAATCAGGTCTGAAGAGTAGAGATCTCTGATCTGGTGTGGTTACAAACTGCCTCAGAAACCTTAGGAGTCAGTTAGAAAATCAAGACGAGTATTGGTGTTTCAAGTGATGGGGTTTGGGTACTGGAAAGATTGTATCAGCCTTCTGGAAACCAAAAGAGTTAGAGAATACTCAAAGTGTTCTGGTGTGTTTGGGAAAACACTGGTGGGATAGTCAGAGTTCTTCAACAAAGAAGAAAACACAGTACTAGGGTGTCTCAGTCAGTAAAAGAAAAAAAGAGGGAAAATCTTGCCTCTGAGGGAAGAAGAAGAAGAGAAGAGATTGGATTTATACCCCACCCTTCAGTCGGAGTCTCAGAGCGGCTTACAAACGCCTTTCCCCCTCCCCACAAGACACCCTGTGAGGTAGGTGGGGCTGAGAGAGCTCTTTCAAGAACTGCTCTTTCAAGGACAGCTCTTGTCAGAACTATGGCTTGCCCAAGGTCATCCAGCAGCTGCAAGTGGAGGAGTGGGGAATCAAACCCGGTTTCCCCAGATTAGAGTCTGCACACTTAACCACTACACCAAACTGGAGAGAAGTGGATGGGGCCGTCATAGGAGGGCTCAGAAAAAAAGTTGGTTTCTTAGAAATCTACACTCACGCACAATTTATTTATTTTAAAATCTGTTTTCTAAAAGTAAACTCTTTATAATTTTGTGCAGTGGTAATAAGAAATACAATACTGTTCCTGTGTAACAGGATCAGAAACAGCCTTCAAAACAAACCCTCTGTGCTCTCCAAATATATATTTTTTAAGTATTTTGGGGGCACACAAGAAGTAACATTTCTTGTTCTTTTGTAGCAGAAGATGACAAGAATCATATACAACATAAAAAATACAAAGAAAAAAGATGAAGGATGTTCTCCAGCACACAGAATGCGAAATATATAATCCCTTAGGAAAATGGTTCCCCATGATAGAAAAAAGAACCTTTGATAACTTTAATTGGGAAAGCATCAATAAAGCTAGATATAAAATAATGATTTACAGTTGACAAGTTATAAGTTTATCACTCTGTATTCTGTATTCCGAAATAATGTAAGTTGTTATGAGATAGAAATCTTATAGTATTCTTTTTTTCTTCTTCTCTAAGTGAAGCAACCTATATTTGTGTATTATAATGTTGAATTCTGTATTCCTTTTGAAAAAGAATAAAAATTGTTCGGGGAAAATGTTCTCCAGCACACAAAAAAGGTAAGTTTTGAATAGGTTTATTTCCTGCTGTTATGTTCTGTAATGCAACTCTAAAAAACTCTAGATTTTGATATTCAGAGTTTTGCTCCAGTAAATATCTCCACTAATACTGGAACCCCAAATCTGGGGCAAAGTTAGTTACAGAAGAATACTGTAAGAACTGGTACTTATTAATCACTAGTGCTGCATCTGGTACTTTGTGGCTTCTTGGAGCCTTGGAGTTAATGATGCATGGGCTGGCCTTGGGCAAGTCATAATCTCTCAACCTAGTTTACCTCGCGGGATTGCTGTGAGGCTGCAATTGGAGCTTGCCAAAAAAAGGGCAGGATACAATTGCAATTACTTATGAAATAATTTTTGTTTAAAGGGATTTTATTACTTAATCCAGTAGATTATTTCAGGAGCATTCAAATGTTTTCTGTGCTCCTCCAATTCAAACAAACCAGGAAGTTTACCCTCCCAGGAAGCAGCACTTCCTGAGCCTCACACAGTATAAACTCTCCCAGCAACAGCAAAAAGCAAATCTTCACAAATTCCCACCCACATATGTGGATCATCTGTCAAACTATAAGGGAGGCTTGGAATCATTTCTGGTCAAACTGGTACACGAATTCCCAGTTTTTTAAAAAATAATTTCTTAGATGCCAAGTTCTCTGGTATGTTTTTAAGTTGTGTTACACTCAAGGAAAGGATTTCACTATGGAAGTCCCTTTAAACACCCCCTTGTTGAAGGCCATCTTGTCCAAGATTTAATGTCTGGTATTAGGTGTACTCAGAAAACCTACGCAGGTGACTGATCTGTGTATGTCCTCAACTGCAGCTTCTTGTCAGGCTCCTTAGTCAGGTCACACCACAGGTCGAGCTTTGAGAAGATTTTCCCCTTAGCCACCTCGGCCAAGAGATCCTTCATAAGAGGCAGGGGAGGGGGTAGGCATTCGTGGTGGATACAGCATTCAAACCCCTGTAGTCCATGCATAACCTCAACCCACCATCTTTTTTCTTCCGGAACAATACAGGTGCTGCAAAACGGGAGGATGCAGGGCGAATGAACCCTCGTGCCAAGTTTTTGTCAATAAATTTGCGCAGTTCCTCCTTTTCCCATGGACTCATCGTGTATAGCTTCCCCTTTGGCAATTTCTTGCCTGGAATTAATTCGATAGCACAATCTGAGTGTCAGTGAGGGGGCAATTCGTCTGCCTCCTCTTTTTCAAACACCCGTGCCAGATCCCGGTATTCGGGAGGGATGGAGTTCAGCTCTTCCTCGGCCACACAAGCACTTACTGGTTCGTCAGGAGGCTCCCCCCCCTCCACTGTTCCTCCCATATATGCGTCTGGCATTTAGGGGAAATGAATTTAATCACTCCCTCGTCCCACAGAATATAGGGATCATGGTCGTGAAGCCACGGGCTGCCCAGCACCATATGGAAACGGGCTGCGGATGTGATTACAAAGGATCTGTGCTCCCGTTCCCATCCGTAAAGGCACAGTCTCGTAGTTACAAGGGTCCTCCATAGCTGACACATCCATTTGGGTAAACACAATGGGGTCCTGGAGCTGGACAACTTTGACCCCCAACCCCGTCACTAGTGAGGGGTTGATTAAGTCTTGGCCACACCCCGAGTCTATCAGTGCCCGTACCCGTACATGGGCACCCAACTCCGGATTCAGAACAGTCAGAGTCACAAAAAAGAGGGAGGGGTATCCGCTCACCGGTTTAGGCGCCTTGGTGTTCGGAACCTGCTGTTCAGTGCCGCTCACTGCAGGTCCTGTCCTTTTCCCGCCGGGTGATCCTCTTCTTCGCTTGATGAGTTTGGCGCCTCCTTTGGAACACTTGCTTGTAGTGCTCATTGGGTCTTGGGTCGGGGTGCTGGTTTCTTCGTTGGGATGTCCGCCCGTCTCTTCTCTGGTACCTTTCGCGTGACTTCCTGGGTTCCCGATCCCGGACAGGATGCTCTGAAGTGGGCGGCTTCACCACATTTCAGGCACAGCTCTTATTTCATTCGCTGGTCTCACACCCCCTCCTTCTTTGGTTGAGGGATCTTGGGTTTTGGAGACGTCAGAAGTGTCTTACTCGCAGTGGCCACATTGTCTATCTTGATGGTTCGCAAGCGGCTCTCAGCATCTGCCGCTTCACCCATCCAGGCATTCAGAGACACTGGGTGGACACTGCGAAGGACCGTTTCCCTGATCTCAGGATGTAGACCCAGGAGGTATTGCTCGGCCATCACTCCATCGGGCCACCCCTGGATCTTCACCACCTGGCACTTGAACTCCTCCGTATACGCTCGTACCGACTGCTTTCCCTGCTTGAAAGTGCGTAAGAAAGTGCGAGCATGCTCACCAGCATTCGGATCTTCATACTGAGCCCTGAGGGCCCACGTAAAAGCGTCCACTGACCAGAGCTCTGATCCATCAGTATTGTGCAGACTCACGTACCAGTCAGCTGCCTCAGCCCTCAGCCTGGATGCAATATAGTTCACCCGGCATTCTTCATCAGGAAACAGGTGGCCCCAGTTCATGACAAACTTCTGGGTGCGAACCACAAAGAACGCCAGTTTCTCGGGGGTCCCATCGAACGTAGCATCCAGAGGCTCCATATGGCGATGCACTTCTTGGCCTGGTTGTGCTGGTACCATGTTCCCTGGAGGTCCTGGGGGAGGATTCCTAGGTGCAGCAGGCAGGATGCGTGGTGGCACCTGAGCCAGGCGCACCAGTTGCGCTGGCATCCGGTGTTGTACTTCTCTCTGTACTGCCTCCGCTGCCATCCCCGGCAGCTTCCAGAAAGAATCCTCGATCAGTTGCAGCATTTTATCGTAGCCCCGCTCAAGTAAGTCCAGGCGGGGACCTACGGACTCCTCAGGTCCTTCGGCCCCCCTGGTGGCCCCTCCACTCTCCGGCTCATAGTCCACGTCTCGTGGAGGCCAATCATAACGACTTTCACATCGGGGCCCCGAAGGGGAAGGAAGAGTCCAGGTTTCATGTGGGTCCGCACTGAATTGTCCCCAGCACGGGCCCCGCAACCTTGTAGTCACTCTGGCTGTTGCCCCTCCGAAGGGTTCCAGCAGAAGGTCTGCCCTGTTTGTCCCTGCATTCCGCAGGGCAGACTCCGTGACCTCAGTCTCAGCGTCTGGCTCCCTAAGCGAGAGCTGGGTCTCCTCCTTGGTCGAAGCCGGGAGAGTGGTCTCCTCATTGTCGCTCATCTCAGCGTGAGAGATTCGGGTCGAGAGATGAAGGATTCTTGACCCTTAGACAGGTCACACCACACAGGGCTTCATAAGAAGATAACTGTTTATTAGTGGATCCAGCACTAAAGAACACGTGTACAGCTTGTGTCAGGAATGGCCGTCCGTACTAGGGCCTCTGACTTATAGTGAAATCAAAATTCCCCCTGTAAGCATAAGCCAATGGATATGTCTCACGCGTGCGGCAAAGCAAGCGGGCATAGCAGAAAAGCCATTAACTTTCTCAGCCGTGTAAACTGCAGCTAGAACATCTACAAGGTCAAGCATAAGATAGCACACAGTAGCTGAGCAGGATAGAGCTGAGAACGAGATGGAGGGTACCCCTCCACATTCCAGAACTATGACAGGGCTACCTGACACTTCTCTGATTAGACTGTGCCTCCAATAGAATGTGCCTATATACCTCCTATGACATCAGGTTTGGGGTTGTGTTTCCATGTAGCAATTCAAAACTTTGGTTGTCCTCGGTAGGCAGCCACCATTTGTGATAATTCCAAGGTTTTTTGTCCTCATATATAAAGGACTAAAGAGCAGCAAGATGCCTGGCTGTTCTTAACTGTTTCTAAAACCCAGAATGAAGTCAGCATCAGCTTCAAAAACAGGGTCATCATAGCTAATTACATTAATGGACATGTGCCCCTATGGCTTGGTTCAGTCATAATGGGACAAGCTACTTTGAGTCCCGATTCAGGAGAAAAGGAGAATATAAATGAAAAATAAAAAGAATCTAGATATCATTGCTTTAGAAAGATTCTCCCAAGGAACCCTTAAAGGTAAAGGTTTCCCTTGCTTGAAAGCTAGTCGAATCCGACTCTAGGGGGTGGTGCTCATCTCCATTTCCAAGCCAAAGAGCCAGCGCTGTCCGAAGATGTTTCCGTGGTCATGTGGCCGGCATGACTAAACGCCGAGGTGCATGGAATGCTGCTACCTTCCCACCAAAGCGGTACCTATTTATCTACTTGAAATTTCTTGCTTTCGAACTTCTAGGTTGGCAGGAGCTAGGGCCAGAGATGGGAGCTTACTCCATCATGCAGCACTAGGTTTTGAACTGCCGAGCTACAGACCTTCTGGTCTGTAGCTTCAGCGTCTTAACCTCTAACCCACCATGGCCCCAAGGAACCCTTAGACAGAACTTAATAGTAGAATTGAATGTACTCTTTGAGCCAGTCAAGGATAAGGTTATGTTGGAAGTAGCAGAAGTAGACAAGTTGAATCTAATTTTACAAGGGAAATATGAAGAACTTTTTGAAAAGAGATGGGTGGGAATGTATACATGGTTAGAAAATGTATAAATGACTCGAAGGTGTATGTATATTTGAGAACTTATGATGTACAAAAAAACCAATAAATAAAACGTTAAAAAAAAAGGATAAGATTATGTTTTGCTCTGGGAGAATAACAGATTGGGACAAAAAGGACATCAGCAGTAATTGATGATATTTGCTGCAAGGTAACAGCCATCTGGAAGACACTGAAGAGTAGACTATGAGAGCTCAAGTGATGAGATTCCAAAAAAGGACCCCAGGAAAAAAATGGACACCCTGGTCACATCCTTAAGAAAATGCTGGATATCGGCTTGTTGAAAGTGCACATAATATTCTCAAGAGCAAAATATACCCCAAAGGAGTATCAAGTTGGAGCCACTTATTCAGATTAGATGCTTCTGCAAATACATGGATTTTTGCCCACACAGCATCATTTTCCTTCCTCTCCACTCCTGCAGCAGTCAGAAATGCCCCCCATTCCATTCCTGGGAGTCCATTCTTCCTCAGGGACAGTATTTCAGGAGCATTTCAAGCTGCTCCTGGTGGGTGGAGTGAGACTTGTGTTCTGTTGGTAGAAATCCTTGAGCCTGCAGAAACTTTGTGTATGTTATATGCCATCACCTTGCCTGGTGTTATATGCCATCACCTTGCCATGGTGACCCTATGAATTAACGGCCTCCAAAATGTCCTATCATTAACAACCTTGCTCAGGTCTTGCAAACTGAAGGGCGCTGGCTTCCGTTATTACGCTAATCCAATTTATGTTGAGTCTTCCTCTTTTCCAGCTGTCTTCAACTTTTCCTAGCATTATTGCCTTTTCCAGTGAGTACTGTCTTCTCATAATGTGACTGAAGTACAGTAGCCTCAATTTAGCCATATTAGCTTGATTTGATCTGGAATCCACTTATTTTCCTTTTTGTGTGTGTGTGGTCCATAGTACCTGTCAAAGTCTCCTCCAACAACACATTTCAAATGAATCAACTTTCTTCACGCCAGCTTTCTTCATTGTCCAACTTTTGCATCCATACATAGTAATGGGTAATGCTATAGTATGAATTATCTTAACCTTGGTTGCCAGCTATACATCCTTCCCCATTATGGATCTTTTCTAGCTCCTTCATGGCAGACATGTTAGTCTAGATAAAGACCTACTGTTAAGTTTTACTCAATAAATATTACAAAAACAGACAGAATAGGTCTGCTAAAGAGTGCTGTTCATGAAGAATTCTACCCAATCTGCCCTCCTGTGTAGAACTGAGCAAACAGGACAGTTTTTCAGATGCCATTAGCATTTTTAATAGGGCACTTCTTCTTTTATATACACAAGAATTTGAACACATTTGAACAAAAATGTACCATATAAAAATATAAAGAATTACCTTATGTGTCTGGTAGACTATGATTGCATTATCAGCTAAAGTTTCCACAACATGGAAGTTTTCAACAGTTGCTGGGGGCAGGGGACAAAGCAAATAATGTAATGAATGTTTTCATGTAATTATTATTCATAAACAATTAACTTTAGATATAACAGCCAGGCCAATAGCCACTTACTTTCCCAGTCATTACGAAATTCAACATTCCAGAAATAGTGGCAGACTTCATGCCCTGTAACCCCTTTGACTGCATGTGTGGCTTTCAAAGGATCTAGAACAATACCATTTTCTTCCACTTCCCTCCTGTACACCTTTGAACAAACACAAGAATAAAAATTATGCTCATATCATACATTCTCAAGCATTTCCTTTGTTTGACCTTAAATTCACCTACTACTTAAAAGCTAATTCAAATGGCATAACATATTTATTTGTTTTTTTTAGTCACCGCTCACCCAAAGGGTCTCATGGCTACTTACAACATTAAAACCAATAAGGTAAAAACAGTATAAAAACAAATATAAAATAGGTAACAATAGAGAATAAAAGTAGACAAGTAAATTTACAGCAAGATTTTTGGTGATTTAAAATGTCAGGAAAATAAGCAGTATAGCTACTACTAAGCTTTTTCTTGCTGAGTTTGCAAACTAGTCAAGTGCTCAAGCACTTTAACTGTCCATGAACTCTGTTTCCTTCAAGTGTTTTTCATCTTAGATAGCTAGTTGAACTAGATACAGAAAAAAATAGGCTAAAGGTTGCGATTGGCTTTCTTATCTTGCTTTACCAGGTGTATCTCATATGCACCTGCAGATTAGCTCATTTGTTGCTTGTCTAGTTAAGAACCAATAGTCTAGATAATATCACATGATTATGCTATCTGATCAGCACTCATGTTGCTTATCTTTTATTAGTTATGAAACAGTTATGTAAATAATATCACATGATTATGATAGAAAAGGTTTAGAGAGAACAGATATTTTTCTATAAATATGCACTCCTGTGTCAAGCAAATCAGATCTTTCTGGATGGAAGTCTCAGAAGAGGAATAGGTGAGATTAGTAAAGGTTCCCTTGCTTGAAAGCCAGCCGGGTCCGACTCTAGGGTTGCGGTGCTCATCTCCGTTTCAAAGTCGAAGAGCCAGCGCTGTCTGAAGATGTTTCCGTGGTCATGTGGCTGGCATGACTAAACACCAAGGTGCATGGAACGCTGTTACCTTCCCACTGAAGTGGTACCTATTTATCTACCTGCAAGTTCTTGCTTTCGAACTGCTAGGTAAGCAGGAGCTGGAACTAGAGACGGGAGCTCCCTCCGTCTCGAACTGCTGAACTACTGACCTTCTACAGCCTGCAGTTCAGCGTCTTAACCATTTGAGCCACCGCAGCTTACTCGGTGGGTAACTTGGACTATTTGATCATCCTTAACAGAAGTGAAACAAACAGCTGAAAATTGATTTGCTTTAAAAACTAGTACTTGCTAAAAGCAATGCTAGGTATTTGATAATTTTAGATTTTCACAGTAATTGCTTGTATTTCACTCTGTCTAGCTCACTGAAGAAACTAACTTCTTATCTCAATAGAAATGTTTTTGCAGTTCTGTCTGGTTTGCTGGTTACATTCAAAGACTGTATTCACCTCCTTATTCTTTTGTATTATGATAATTAAAGTTTGCTAATCAGCCTTTAATAAGATAACTCCAGGAGAACTCTGTGCTAAACAGTTTTTGCCAAGGTAGAGCTGTTAAACTATTACATTCAGATTCTCTGATTGGATGTGGGAGGGAATCTCTCGCTACAGTACCTCTGACTACGTTTATGTATACATACTGGATTGTCAAGTCTTGTATGAGAAACTCTGAGGATTTTTTCAGATGCTATGTGAAACCATAGTTTAATTAAACTAGTTATGGTTAGTACAATTACTTGAATATGGACCAATGTATAAGGTAGGCTATGTCAAATCAGTATTTGAAACCATAGTTTGGTTTATTAACCACAGTTTGCCTTAACTACGGTTTTACATGATGTATAACTGCAGACATCCTGGTTTATTCACAGTTCAATCACGGCTTTTTCCCCAGTGCTACTGTCACTCCAACACAGGCATGATTTCTTCAGGGGAATGAGTGAAGGTGATAAAACCAGCACTTGTAGAGGCAAGCCAGGATCTGAAGGTTGTTTGAGGATGAAATTCTGACTTCACAGACTAGCTAACTATGGTTTTCCACTATGTGAGGAAATTTTGGTAAAGAAACCAAATTCTGCAAAAAGGTGACAAAGCTTGCTGAATACTACTATATCTGTCACTTGGAGAAATACCTTGTAATCAAAAGGCTTGAAGATTTAACCACCACTAAGAAATGGTACCAATTTAACCCAAGCTTACATTAGTTCAGTGAAACAAAATTTATATTACATTTCCCAGATATAAAATACTACATATGTTCTACTTGCCTTCATTTCACCTTCTTCAACCACCAGCTGCCAATTGGCATCACCCCCCACATCTTGTAGTGAGTATGTCATGTGGTTCTGCACCATCTCTTCCACCTTTGCACACACAAAAAATGCAAACTGATAAAATTATTTCTACCACATCATCTGCATATTCTAGCCTATAGATGCATAAATGATTACACAAATATTATAGAGAGAAAACCTCTGAAAGTAACAGAGGAACTTCTATACAAAATCAAATGCATGCCTAAAATACATGGCTTATTTGGCAAAAACGATGTTAAAATTAACCTCTATCCTCCAGGAAAGAAGCTGCTCAGCTACTACATCTGATAACAAACGTATGTGTGAAGAAACGATGAGAAAGCTCTGAGTCACCATTGATCTGTCTACTTACTAGAACCAGGAGTGGTGGAAGAAAGAGATTTTTCCTAACACCTTTTAACTAAATATGCCAGAGATTGAACCTGGACCTTCTACATACAAACCGGGTGCTCTCTCTCTCTCTACCACAGAGCCACAGTGCCCTGATATTATTTCAGCATGGCAGTGAGTGGCTAATTGCTTAAAGCACTGGCATTATTAAAAACCCAACATTATCTTTGAATAATTATATAATACTGTCTTCACGTTTTTTCATTTACACCATTTTCAAAATTATTTTTCAAATACATAGTGTACTGATAAAGATCACAATGTGCCCTAAGGAATAGGCAAAGTAACATTTTGAAGCCTATTTTCCATGAGGGGATGCTGCTATCAAGCTTGCCTTCTATCAGCTTAACCTCTCCAAACACCCATACAGTAACTGGATCAATCACACAGCTGCTTCCACCTGAATTCATAAATATTACAGCTATTCTGTTCGTCTCTGTATACCTAACATATAATGATTAAAGAACAGATATATGGAAAACGTTCTCTCATTTCTTCACCTATATAACTTGTAAAAATCAAATGCGTATAAGCCTTCTGGTTTCAATCTCCATACTTGAAGGGCATTTCTGTTGGACACTAGTTAGCACACAGCAACAAATACAAGTCCAGATGAGCTACATGAACAACAGTGCAAGGAAGGCCCTGGAACTCCTCCTCTACTTCCACCTCTGCCTCCCCAAGCAGCACTTTGGGGACAAGGAACCTTTTGGGAACAGAGCAGAATGCAGCACAGGGGACTCGGCTGCAGGTAAAAGGAGGCAACAAGTTCTCGCTCTATTTAGAGAGGAAGGATTTTGGCAGATTCCTCTTCTTTGTTGCAGTACCCCCCGCTAATATTGGCTTATGCCTCTTGTAAGCTGCCCTGAGCCCGCATGCGCGGGGAGGGCAGGGTATAAATTTGAATAAATAAATAAATAATAAGTAAAAAGCCTCTTCCTGTTTCCCAGAAAGTGAAGGGGCGTAGGAGGTGGGGGAGGGATATCCTTTCTGTGAACTCCTTTTATCGACAGCTCATAGGACCAAGGCTCTATGTAACTAGTATCTTCTGTCTAGTCAAGGCTCTATCAACCTGTTGTTATATATAAAAAAGATCTGCATCCAAGCAACCAAAATCTGCTCACAGGGAATCAGACTTCAGTGACCACTGTACATAGTTTCTTTCTTCTGATGTCCTCCCTCCCACCACCGTTTGAGCTTCCAAGATTCTGGCAGGCAAGTGCCCCCACATGCTCTCAAACAGCCATTCACAATAATAAAACCTAGAAACTCTGAAAGCTGGATTAAGCACCAAGTACTGTATTTTGTACTTCTGCAAAACCTCAGCATACAAACAGCCTTATTCATAGCACAGTCTCATTCATGAAGTGTTAGAGAAAGAGTGGAAGTAAAGATGCTGCCAATATTCAGGCCAACTATGCTAAAGTTAAAGTTGATTCAGACCATATGACCTATGCAAATCCCCAGACAGACGATGAGAGGTCACCTATAACCAGTAACTGCAAGCTTCTAAACCAGGAATAAATTAAAACCAGTCTAGAAGATAATTACTTCAAGACCAAGTACCAAACCACATTGAAGCCACCTTCCCCAGAGTTAGCACCAAGTGTAAACAGACCAGCAGTCTATCTGCTTTCTCCAGGGATTTTGCCAGTGAAGCATCTTTCCCAACACCTGCTACTTCAAATACTTTAACCGGAGATGGCAGGGTTTGGCCCGGGGAACTTTCCACATGCTGGGAATATGCTCTGTCACTGACACACAGCTCCTCCCCAAGTCAAAATTACTTTGTGAGGTTCTGAATGTTCTAATCCAAATGCAAAGGTAGCAGTTCTTATATTCTGATATGGTACTTACTGAATAAAGCTTAGAGACTGATTACTGATTATGTGCAGCTAGAAAGCAATGCTGCTAGACTTAGTACAGGAACTTTCTAAAGAAAAGCTGTATTGCCAAGAATTTCCCCATTATGTACGTATTCATAAGAAATAATTCTCTTTACTGTGCCCACTTCATACATCCACACCAAGCAAATCTCTACCATAGACGAGTTAATTACTACCATCCCACAACACATTAACCAATGATAATTTTTGAAGGACTGGATTCTATGCAGTGCCAGCATTGAGAGATTGATGAAAGTGGATTTTTCCTGCCACCTCTATCTGCTGCAACCACTTGTAAGCCTCAAAAAGGTAATGCTGAGGACTGGCGCACATTTACAAAAGGCCACTCAACCAAGGCAGCTACACTGAGAATGGGAAATTACTTTCCTTTGTCTCTTCTGTGGCATGGCTTTTCATCCATGTGCCCCACACCCTCTGAATGCTTTTCTGAGGGTCACAGGTGGCTGCTGGGGAAATGGGAAAAAACCCTCCCTCTGTTAGCCTTTTACAAGTTGCTGTGCTCAACCTAAAAACAGGTTGCTTACCAGTAACTGGTGATCTTCGAGTGGTCATCTGTGCATTCACACCAATGGGTTTAGTGCGCATGCGCTGACCCAACCGATGCTGTAGCAAGCTTTTTCAACGGATTTTCGTGCCGAGCCCCTCCAGGCGGGCGCGGACATCCCGCCAGTTCCTTCAAAGCACCGCCACCATTCAAAACCTATTTAAAAAATCTAGGATCCTCATCAGATACTGGATTTGGAAAGAAATTTGGCAAGAAAACTTCAGCTTGCAGATGAAATTCCGAAATCACCTTAGGCAAGAACGAAATGTCCGGCACCAGGCGGATTCCATCAGGGAGTATGGAAAGGTAAGGAGCGTCGTGCCTGAAGGCCAAGAGCTCTCCAACTCGCCTGGCCGACGTGATTGCAACCAAAAAAGCTGTCTTCCATGTCAGGAGACGTAGTTCGCATGTGGCCAGTGGTTCAAATGGCTTCCGTGTTAGTTGACGCAGGACCAGGGGAAGGTCCCAAGGCACAGGCGGAGACTTAACTGGGGGATAAAGGCGAAGCAAACCCTTCAGAAAGCGTCGTGTCTAAAGGCTAAGAGTTCTCCAACCCGTCTGGCCGACGTGATCGCAACCAAAAATGCTGTCTTCCATGCCAGGAGACGCAGTTCGCATGTGGCCAAAGGTTCAAACGGCTTCCGTGTAAGTTGACGCAGGACTAAAGGCAGGTCCCAAGGTACAGGCGGAGACTTAACTGGGGGATAAAGTCTAAGCAAACCTTTTAGAAAACGTTTGGTAACTGGATGGGTAAACAATGAATAACCATCAACTGGAACATGAAAAGCTGTACAAGGCAGCTAGATAAACACGCAACGAGGAGTGGGAGAGCCCCGAGTCAGCAAGGGACAAAATAAATGAAAAAACTTCCTCCAGTCCAGCAGTGGTCGCCAGAGAGGTATCAGTCCCGAGAAAGGTGCAGAATTTAGTCCATTTCAGGTCATAAGACTTGCGCATAGACGGTTTTCTTGAATTTAAGAGTACATGCGCTATGCGAGCAGAGAATCCTCGGGAAGTATCCACCACGCCATGAGCTTCAGTGTTTTCACGTCGTGGTGAAGTAACGGGGAGTCGTTGAGACAAAGCAAGTCTGGAACAGGAGGGAAATGGTAATACGTTCCCCGAGACAGATCTGGAAGAGTGGAAAACCAGGGTTGCCTGGGCCACCAGGGTGTTATCAGTATCACCTGTGCATTGTCCTTGAGGATCTTGCGCACCACCCTGAGGAGCAGTGGAAGAGGGGGAAACATGTACAGATGTTTCTCTGACCATGGGTAAAGGAGGCCGTCTCCCAACGATTGGGTGTCGTATCCCCCTCGGCTGCAGAACAGACGACATTTTCTGTTGTGTTGTGTGGCGAAGACGTCGACTTGGGGAGTGCCCCACAGTCAGAAAATTGGGAGCAGGTAGTGTTGTTTTATTCCCCATTCGTGAAGACTGAGGCCAGAGCGGCTGAGATGGTCCGCTTCTAGATTCAACTCTCCAGGTATGTGAGTTGCCACCAGGAAAATGTCGTTGGCCCTGCAGAAGTCCCACAGATGTATCGCGAGGCTGCATAGACGATTGGAAACCGTTCCCCCTTGGCGGTTTATATACGACATTGCCGTAGTGTTGTCCGTCAGGATGTTGATGTACTTTCCCTTGAGTAGAGGGAGGAAGCTGGTTACTGCGTTCTGGACAGCAAGAAGTTCCAGGAAGTTGATATGATTTCTTCTTGTGTCGTAGTCCCATGTGCCCCCTATGGAGTACCCCATGGAATGGGCGCCCCAGCCCGTCATAGACGCGTCGGTAGTCAGGACGATCTCCGGGGACGGAGTGTGAAAGGGAGCACCTTGTAGCAGGTTGGATGGCACAGTCCACCAGCGGATAGCATCTCGGATGTAGGAAGGAGAGGAGAGCAAGACGGCATGGGCATCCATGTGAGGCTTGTAAGAGTGGAGGAACCAAAGTTGCAGCCTTCTCATTTTGAGCCTTGCGAAGACCAACACTGCAGTTGTCGCAGCCATGAGGCCGAGGAGCCTTTGAATGTTGTAGGCCGTAGTGGCAGGTTGTGTACACAGCTGAACGGCCAGAGAAATTATGTCCTCGGCTCTGTCTGGCGGAAGATAGGCCATGCAAGCGTTGGAGTCCAGTATCGCGCCTATATATTGGATGTGCTGGACCGGAGAAAGATGTGATTTTTGGTGATTGACCTGTAGGCCTAGGTC